TTCAGGATCTTCTATTTAAATAATTCTTAGCCCTTTTGAGGGCTTTCTTTACCTTTGAGGAATCTAGAAAAAATCTTAAAAAAATCCACGCTTTTGGGCCCTTTAGGAGTCTAGACAAAACCTTAAAAAATCCATGCTTTTGAGCCTTTTAGGAGTCTACACAAAAAATCTTTAAAAAGTCCATTCCTTTTAGGCCTTTTAGGAGTCTAGAAAAAATCTTTAAAAAATCCACGCCTTTTGGCCTTTGAAAATCCAAGACTTTGGGCCTATAAAAAATCCCCATTTGTGGGTAAGATGGTTCTTGAAAATACAATTCCTTAAAAAATACACTCCTATGGCTCAAATGGTCCTTGAAAAAATTCTTTAAAAAATCCCCGTTTGCGCGTCACATGGTCGTTTAAAAAATCCACGCCTATGGCTCAGATGGTCCTTGAAAAAAGTTCTTTAAAAAAATTTAAGCCAATGGCTCAAGATGGTCCCTGAAAAAAATTCCTTAAAAAACCACGCTTATGGCTCAGATTGTCCTTAAAAAAAATTCTTTAAAAAATTCACGGCTATGGTTTGCAAAATATCCTTGAAAAAAATTCCCTAAAAAATCCATGCCTATGGCTCAAGTGGCCCTTTAATTTTTTTGTTTAATCTTTAAACCATCTTTCAAAGACGGATTGTTTTTGCGTCGTACGGACTGCGAATTGAATTTTATTCCCTAGTGGACCTCATCTCATCGATGAACAAACAACCAGTCTTTTATTAACTTCTGTCTGTGAGCGAAACTAAATATTTTTATATTGGACCTTTTTCGGGGTGCAAGGTTTTGCTTGTCTTTTGCCTTTTATGTATCTGCACCTTTTGAGAGTTTTTCGTAGGCATGGATTTTTCCTTGTCACTATTAAAACAAGCCACCGCAAATTTTGGCTAATCTTAAACATGTCAATCTTTCTCTTTGCAATTAGAGGTTTGTTGTGATCGCCTGTTTTCAGAGCCCCTTAAAAGATGCTATTTTCTCCCCCTTCGTATTAAATTTTGAAATTCTGTTACACCCTTAGTTCATAAATTTCCAACTGGCTACCTTTTCAATTTCACCTTCTCAAACACCCCCCAAATAGTATTATTACCTTATCTGCCACCATTTAAAGCATATGCCAATATTGGATTTTATTGGATTTCCTTTTTGAGCATGTGTATTCCAATTTTTGTTGAATATTTTCGTTTCGTAGGATTTTTTTTTTTTGGATGGCCACTAAAAATTTCATAAAAATCCGTTTATAGCACTTCATTTAGTCCAAGTTATCCTCTTAGCATGGATTGAAAACATACTGTTCCGAATTGATGCAAAGTTACTTCAATTTCGTTTATGCTCCTCCAGCACTTGCCCAAACACCGATATGGACTTAAATAACGGCGCCAACAACAAACAAAAAAAAATGGAGATTAGTTTGAAGTTATCCTTTTAAATCCTCTTACACATCATCGACTATTGCCGGCTTTTCTTTTTTTTTTTTTTTTTGGTAAATTTTTTGGAAAGAGCATTTTAAGTATTATTTGGACATACACCCTCTGCCACCGTACTGTTATCTTCAGTGTATATTGTTGTCTCCTCACCTCCCCCATTCTGTGCCTTAATCCAGGCAGCATCTATTGCTACGGTAATTAATGTAATCCTCCCCGCATAAAATTGTTACAATTAAGCTAAGACTGTGTTATTTTATGGCTAAAAATTATCACAGAAACGAGAAAAAGAGAAAAACGCCTGACATGCAAAAGCTGTTGGCCAATGGTCTTTCCGGCCGCCTAGTGCGTATTTAGATGGTGAATGGTGTGCGCTGGGATTTTGGAATGGATTTATAAAAAGTTAATACCTTTTTAATATTAGCTAAGGGTGTTTGTATGTGTGTGTGTGGATGGAGGGGAGGCTGTGTGTTTGCATGGAGATGGGAGGAAATTAGAGAAGTTGGACATTTGCTATGAAATGAACAATGCCCGAGTTCTAATTACAGAAAATTTTGGGAAGTTGGGTGGATATGGTCTCTAATTTCAAATTTTATGCTTATTTTCTCATTTGTTTGAGTGTGTGTGTGTTTTCATTGTTGACCATTTAAAATCATTTTATGAAATTGGGTTAGATTTAATTTTATATAAGCTTCTTGGAGTTTGAAGGATATATTAAAGAGGTACTGGAAACACTGGAAAATTTGGCAAAACGAAAAGGATTTTGTTTTTACCCTTATTAAATTTATTTCTCAAGAAATAGAGTCAACTATTTAAAAATATATTCAATTGGGCGCCATCTAATAACTTAGATTAAAAGATTGAGATCTGAAAAATTATTTGGTAGAAATTATTGGATAATTAAAGGATTGTAAAGAATTATTCAGGTTTTTTTTTAACTTTGAGATATTTTTTAAATATGAAACCATAAAAAAAGCCTTTTTATAGTTAAGAGATTCAATATGTCTTCTATGAGCGAATGATTTTCTGTATTGCAAGCAGACTATAAAAAATCACATTTTTGAAATCTTCTATGCATTAAAAGCAGTTCACAGAAAATATTTTTTAAGAATTTGTGTAAGCTGATAAAATACATTCAAAGGTCGTCTACAAATATAAGGCGTTTTAGAGTAATACTACAAATTATATTTATTGGAGAGTTCCTCACTTAGAAGACCTTTAAGTGGTCTTCAACAAATAAATAGGGATTTTGTGATAATAGGGATTTTGCTTTTAAAAGACCTTCAATTAATGTGTCTTCACACAGAGGAGAGATTCAAGGGGTCTTCTATAAAAAGAAAACCTTCAAAAGACTTTCCACACTTACATAGACGAATTTCGACAGGTTTTATACATAGAGAAGACCTTCAAGGCGTCTTTTGCATATAGAAGATCTTCAAGCATATAGGACCAATATGGGGTCCTATATCCGCAATTTTTGTAAACGTTGCACTATATTTTACACATTCAAGGATGCGGTAGTCCTTCTTTCGGAGATTTCTGAGACGTCGTCCCAGATTCTCAATTTTTAAGGACATGGTCCTGTTTTTTTCCATCAAATATCTGGTATTTATGTTCTCCATTTTCTGATGCGTGGTCTAAACTTTTAAGGACATTGTCCTTTATTCTTCCCTTTCAATGATCTCGTCCTTATATTCTCCATTTTCTGAGGCATGGTCCCAGATTCTTAACTTTTTAGGACGTGGTTCTGCATTTTCCCTTTAAATATCTGGTCTCTATACTCTCCATTTTCTGAGATATACTTCTATATTCTAAGTTTTCCAAAAAGTGGTTCCATGATCTCCATTTTCGGAAAGTTAGTCCTACATTGTCGTTTTTTGTGGCATGGTCCTATATTCTTGGTTTTCGAATAACTGGACCAATTTTCTGAGACGAGATCCCATATTGCCCGTTTTCTATGACGCGGTCTTATATAAACCATTTTTAAGATGTGGTCCTATATTCTTGATCTCTGAACCAACATTCACAATTTTTTAAACGTTGTCCCAAATTCCACATTTTCTTCGACATATTCCTAGATTCTCCCTTTTGTAAAATGCGGTGCCATATTCTCCCTTTTGTAAGATGTGGTATATTCTCCATTTTTACTACCTACATTCTCAATATTCGATGATCAAGTATTCTAAGTTTTTAGAAACGTGACCCTAATTTCTTCATTTTATAAAACTTTATCCTATATTTTCCAGTTTTATTATGTTGTCCTATATTCTCAATATTTTATGATCAAATATTCGGAATTTTCAGAGATGTGGTCCCATATGCTCCATTTTCTAAGACGTGGTCATATTTTCTCCACTTTCAGAGACGAGGCCCTATATTCTCAATATTCTATGGTCAAATATTCGCCATTTCTCCATCTTCTAAGACATGGTCATATTCTCTCCAATTTTATTATGACGTCCTATATTCTCAATGCTCTATGGTCAAATATTCTAAATTTTCAAATACTTGACCCTATATTCTCAATTTTCTGAAACGTGGTCCAACATTTTCGACGAAGTGGACATATAGTTTTTATTTTCTGAGGACTATTTTCAATATTTTAAATTTTTCTGAGACGTTATTCTATGTATCGGAGACGTTATCTTATATACTCCCATTCCCTGAGCTGTCCTCGTATATTCTCAATTTTTAACGGGGCTAGCTCATATTCTTAATATTCTAAGTCGAGGTCCTACTTTTTAAATTACTATGGACCAATATTCTTCATTTTCGAAGACCTGACTCCATGTTCTCCATTTTCTACGACGTGGCCATATTTTCTGATTTTTTCGGTCTCAGTATTCTTCCTTTTCGGAGACCTGTAGTGGGATTCTCTAACTCATTTTTTTGAGTTACCGACAAAATTCGGTAACTTGATAATCCAAAATATAAAAACACACTACATTTTTATTGAATTATTTTTCTGAGTCAATATCCCATATTCTTTCTACTATGTGGTCCTATATTCTAAATCTTCTAGACCCATATTCTTCATTTTTGGAGACTGGGTTCTATTGTCTCTGATTCTATATTTCTTGTGGTCCAATATTCTATATTGCATATATTCATTTCTCTCCAAGGTCAGAACCTATATGTTTCTTTTTCGATGAACCTACAAGACTTGATCCTATATTGTAATCTTTCTAAATCCGCCAAGTCGTATTAACATTTATTTGAGTCTTTAAATTCTACTTAATTCTTAAAGCTGTGGATCCATATTGCCAATTTTTTCCTTGGTCTCCATGTATTTGAAGCTTTGGATTTAAGGTATTTTGAAAGTTTGAAATGCTCAATTAAATTACTTTTAATTTGACAATTAGGGTTTTCGGAGTATATTTACTGCCCCCGCAGGAAATTTTCAACATTGGTTTATATTCAACATTTTGTCCTCAATATCCCGAAAATTTAAGAAATCAGCATAACTTTTATATATTTAAACTTAAATTCTCTATTTAAAGTAAAACACAAATCTAATCATTTTTTTCTCTTTTTTCTCTGTCTATTTTCAGTTAACCCATAACTCTTCAATGCCATAATCCCCAATAAATACCAGCAGTTCCCGGAGTAGCAGAAGTAGTAGTTACATCAACACCGTTTTGCTGCTACTCAGAGATAATAACGAGAGAGAAAAGAAAAATAAGAAATACACTCGCACACACAACTATATTTGTGTGTGTTTAACAAAAAATAACAACAACACCAACAGCATTAAAATGCCCTCAACATTGAAAGCAATCGATGTTGGGTCCTCCTCCATCTCACCATCGACCACATCAACGGTGGCCTCAGCAGCCAGGGTAGCATTGTCAAAGGCATATCACTACAATAATACGATACTGCTGCCCTCTCTCGAGGAAAGGCTACACAGTCCGCCAACAGGAGCAGCAGCATCAGCATCGACATCATCTTCATCCTCAACATCATCTTTATTGGGTTCTGAAATCAATAGCTCTACTGGTTTAACCTCTATATCGCATGTAGCTTCCGTAGTAGTTTCGAATTTCCTGCCTTTAACGTCAGCATCCTTGTCCTCCGGTGGTGGCACGGCTGACACAAGGTCTGTCGATGACACAACATACTCTGCCAACTCCTACATATCAGCGTCAGAACTAACAGCCACCAGTGATAGCATATTGTCGTCATCTTCATCGGCGGCGGCAGCGGCGGCGTCAGCATCACTGTCATCCGCATCATCCTCCATTCTATCTGCATCCTCGGAATTCTATCCCTCCTACAGTCCGCCCGTCGTCGAGAGTCTAGTGGCCAGCTCTGCCGAGGATTTCAGCAATAATTTTCGGGATCTATCATTCGATATTTTCGATGACAATGACAACGATTTGTTCGGCTCGCCAATGCCATTCGATGCCAGTGAAAATGGTCTGTGGAATGGCCGTTTTGTGCCACCACCGCCACGGCCACCGTTCTTCGTTGATGAACCCGTATTGAGTGATGGCTTGACAACATGTGATTTGTGCTCTTGGGCAATGCCAACAAAAAGTACATTTATATTTGAAGGCACAATGGGTAAGTAGTAGTGGTAGTAGAAACACAGCCATAGCTGGCCAGTAGAACGCCATACCGAAGATAGACGACACAACCAGATGAGCATGACAGACAGCCAGGCGTTGAAAGGGTTTTTGTAAATGTATGGCATTAAAAGGAATGGCTCTAAAGAATAGCACAAAAAAAAACGGACAAACAACATTGGAATACTTACGAATAGACAAATCGTCGATGGACAGGTTTGTCCTGTCCATCACATCCAGTCACTCACTCACTGCTTGCTGGGTGGCTCGGTGTGTGACTGAGGGAACATTTTTCAGCAAAAAAAAAACAGCATAGAACTGAACGTAAAATCAAATTTATTTGCCAATAAAATCAAATGATATTGTCCAAGATGAAGCTGATATGGGAATACCAGGCAACGAACATGACAACCTGACTGGTCAAGACAAGTAGAAAAATGTAACTTGAAAAAATGGAAGAAGGGAAAATGGAATGTTTTTGACATTTTATCGTGAGAGACTGACATGATTTGGAGGGAGAAAAAATTTTACTTTATTTTCTAATATTGAATTTTAAATAATCTAATTTTTTAATATTTTTTTCTTTACAGAAAAAGCATCGGAGTTAGGCTGGCCCCTAACTTTAACAATTGTTTCAATATTATCAGCCATTTTAGGAGCCATTATTATGATTGCAGTTGTAAAATGTAGAAGGTAAGTGGAAGGGAAAAATATAAAATTAAAAAATTAAATTAACAAAAATAAAAATTATAATTATTTTAATAATTATAATATAATAATTTCATGAGGAATTTTTTACACAAATGCCCTTCAATTTTTTTCTAAAAGGTAAATAACCTATGGAAAAGTCCTGTATTGTTGGGAGACTTGTCGTGTTATCATTTATTGTTAGATAAACCACCAAAATGTCCTTTGTAGATTAATGACAAAAAGTCCTCCTCCACCCTATATAGACATTTTTCTTTTCAAATATTTTCCTTAAGGATCAGTAAACAAAATAATGTTCTTTAAAAAATACATGTTTATTTGTCTTTTGGTCCTTAAAAAATATTCTTTTAATAATCCACGTTAATTTAAATCCTTGAAAAATATTCTTTAAAAAATCCAAATTTATTTGTCCTTTGGTCCTTGAAAAAATATTCTTTAAAAATTTTGAAAAAATATTCCTTACAAAATTTGAAAAAATATTCTTTAAAAAATTTGAAAAAAAATATTCTTTAAAAAATTTGAAAAAAATATTCTCAAAAAAATTTGAAAAAATATTCTTTAAAAATTTGAAAAAATATTCTTTAAAAAATTTGAAAAAATATTCTTTAAAAAATTTAAAAAAATATTCTTTAAAAAAATTTGAAAAAATATTCTTTAAAAATTTGAAAAAAATATTCCTTAAAAAATATTCTTTAAAAAATTTGAAAAAAATATTCTTTAAAAAATTTGAAAAAAATATTCTTTAAAAAATTTGAAAAAAATATTCTTTAAAAAATTTGAAAAAATATTCTTTAAAAAATTTTAAAAATATTCTTTAAAAAAATTGAAAAAATATTCTTTAAAAAATTTGAAAAAATATTCTTTAAAAAATTTGGAAAAATATTCTTTAAAATATTCGAAAAAATATTCTTTAAAAAATTTACGTTTATTTGGATACTTGAAAAAATATTCTTTAAAAAATCCAAGTTTATTTGGATCCTTGAAAAAATATTTTAAAAAATCCACCCTCTTGATAGCCGATAACTCAAAAATAAGTGATCATGCAACAATACTATTCCTAGAGCTGACCATTTTCGATCAAAGCCCCAAAGGAAGTTTGGGTTCTTTGCTCAAATGTTGTTAAGGCCCTTATATAGTTTCGACCATATATAAGGCGACCTCTAGGATTTGAGTTGTTTTTCGAACATCCAGAATCATTTGCATTTTAAAATGTGATATCCTACAATACTACAATATGTTGAAAGGCCCCTTATGTCCAAATCCATTTTTGGAAGATTTCGTTTTTGATATGATGTCATAGAGCCCTTAGCTTTTTGACCGGAGCATTTCTAGAATATTTACACACTCTGTCGTGTTGCTGGGTATTCAAAACAATTTCACACGAAAGTTGTGGTCCATTTTAGAGCTATATATAATCCAATGGTCATCCAAAATGCTAGACTTCTTCCCTGTACTTAACCCTCTTCTCATTCACAATTCCGTGTCGATTTGTTTAAAATTGTGACCTATAGAGCGGATGTAAACTCAGGAAAATTTTATTTTTTGGTCCATTTGAACTTCTGAATTAACATCTTCAAACACAATAGGCTTTAATTCTGACCCTAAACCTAACCCCATGCAAAATTTCGTGAGTATGAGGGTGAGATGAAAAAACTGCATCCAACTTCAGATTGCTGTCATTACTAAGCCACTCGTGACCGCTCATTATATTGTTTACAAGAGTACAAAAGAATTTTGGTGAGAATTTTCCAGAAACAAAAGTATTCGTGACGGTATTCAAGCGTGATAGTGTGATTTTTTTATATTTGGTTGGAAAACCACAAGTTAGAGCACACCAGCATTTAAATGTCAATAAGTCTTTATTGTCTCGTACCATCGCTCCTTACCGTGATACTGGTAGCGTAGCCCGACGTCAGGGAAGCGGACGGAAGAAGCAGCAACATCAGCAGAAGTAGTTCGAAAAGTAAAAAAGCGACGTGATCGAAACCCGCGTCGCAGTGGCCGAAAAATGGCTCGTGAGCTGAACATATCGCAATATTCCATTCGTCAAATATTGAAAAATGAGTTCGGGGTAAAGCTATTGAAATTGTAAAAAGTTCAAGAACTTATACCGCAACAGAAAGAAAATAGACCCAAAAGAGCTAAAGAGTTGCTTCGCTTGTCCCAAAATGGTGAACTGCCGAATTTGGGTTTCTCCGATGAGAAAACATTCGTGGTCCAGCAGTTTGTAAAAAAAACAAAATGATTGTGTTTACTTGCTAAAGAGGTCAGCTGAAAATGTGCACCTTCGGTTGGCCACCAGAACTCAAGCGCCGGCCACGGTGATGGTGTGGGCCGCCATAACAGCCGATGGTCACTCTCCGCTCGTATTAATCGAACGTGGCATCGGAATAAATGCCGAATATTATCGACTCACTTCATTTCTAGCGTACAATGGCCACATAATCTCCGGAGTCCAATTTGTTTGAATATTGTGTCTGGAGTATTTTGGAAAGCAAGGTTGGCACTAAGAAATGCCAAAGTGTCGATCACCCTCAAGCCAGCACTTCGCCGAAAATGGGCCAAAATACCCCAGAGCAACATTCGGGCAACGTGTGACGGTTTCATTGGCCGAAGGACATAATTCGTGCCAAAGGTGACCAATTTGAACAATACCAAACTTATTCTAAAATTTGATGTTATTTCCGACATTTTTTGCTTTCATTCAATAAATTTAAAATGAAATGTAAAAATTATGGCGTTTGACTTTGTTGCAGTTTTTTATCTCACCCTGTATATGACCTTTACGGATATCGCCTATAGTAAAATGACCTTTCAAATTGTTCTCTGAATGTAGCAGACCTGTCAAAAGGTCATTTATAGGTAGATTGTCATACTCAATAAATATACAATTGTGAATAGCTTTTCGAAAGTTCCTCTAAGAAAGGGGCGACTTTAAATATATGACCTTGAGGTGTCTCCTGTAGTCATATGACCTCTTAAAAGGTCTTTAACAAACATTTTAACTTTTCTAAGGACGTTTATAGATAGATTACTTTTTAAAAGGTCATCTAGAGACATACATTTTTCAATTGGTTTTCCATGGTTAAAAGCATCTGTTAAAAGAGTCTTTCTTGGATGGAAAGGGGTCTTTAAAGGGTCTTCTTTAGACAGAAGAGCGTTCAAAAGGGGTTTATGCGGTCGCATAACCTTCTTTTTACAGAAGATATTTCAAAATATGATCCTTTAAAAACGTATCCATTTACTAGATTATCTTTCAAGAAGTTATTGTACAAAAGGAATATTTTTGAAAAGATCATAGCTAAAACAAATACCACCCTCCCAACTAACTTTAATGGGTAAAATGGACAATTCGGAATTTTTTATTACAGAGGATTTCTATACATCGAACAGGTCGTAAAGACATGGAAGATAGTTTAATCGCATAGTAATGTTCATTTAATCATAGAAGATCCCTTCTTCGAAAAGAAGAAAAAAAGTTATATTTTATGCATAGGAGAGGTCATCTCCTTCCAAGATGTCTTCTATGGCAGAAGATTTTCCAAATGACCACCCATACTTATTTTAATTTTTTTACACACTTAAACATTTACACCTACATATCACTTTCTTATACCACTTATTAACTTTCTTTTTCATTCCTTCCGATTTTTTTTCTTTTTTTTCCTTTTTCTTTTCAGAAAAAAGACATCGCATCAGCGCAGCGGTAAGTGTCAACATCATTCCCCCAAACAACAATTGCCACTTCCCTCTGTCGATCACCATCACCACCATAATAGTAACGAACACAACCACCACCAACACCATCACAATCTTTTCTATCCCCCTCCAACCATGCAATCGATGCAAACACATCAATATCTCTTACAACCATCTGCTACTATACAGAATTTCAAGCAATTACCTGTAAGCAGCCAACACCACAACAACAATCGACGACCGCCCGCCCTGGGCATGATGATGGGGATGCAGCATTCGTCGACGACAATGTCGAACGCAACGACGACGACGACATCATCATCATCACAGCATCCCCAACATCATCACCATCATCCGCGAACCATCAGTTCGTCGTCCTCGTCGAATGACAACAGTAGCAGTGGTACGACTCAGACCAGTTTGACCACACTGTATCAGGTGCGATCGCACAACGAATTCAAATCGCTGACAAATATTGAACGCGAGAATTCCATGTTGAGGCGGCCATTGCCGCCGCGGCCGGACGAGTGCCTGGAAGATGTGGATCACTATGAAGGCGAGGCGGACGATGAGGATGAGCACAATGACGATGAGAGTCTGATGCCCGAGCATTATGTCTACGAAGAGCCAACCATGCAGGAATCGATAACGGCTGTTGTGGTGGTGGCTGCTTCGGGCAATGGCATGGAACGACCTTAGACCATTTTAGGCCATCAAATCTAAATTCATTCAAAAAAAACAAAACCAAACACAAACCATTAAAAAAATAACACAAATGTTAGATATCCAAAACTTAAATGGTGACTCTTTTCTTTCTTCCCCCCACTTCAACCAACGACGTTGTTTTTGTTGTTGTTATTATTCCGTTTGAAATCCAGACACGCATGTCCAGTGGTGGTCACGCAACAAACGGCCAAACGGCAACAACAATCATCTACGAAGAAGCAACATTTACACTGCCCACCCAGTGGATAGCATAAGAGGCCTGCAACAGCCCAGCTCCTTGTCAGCCTCATCATCAATGACAGCCATGACCACGGCAATGACAGTGGCGGCGGCGGCGGCACCACCAAACTCGGCAGCAACATTGCCCTTCTATCATCATGCAGCCGGCCAACAGCATGGCCATACCTTACATCAGCTGCCGCACTCACACTCGCAACACAGCCACCTCGCGCACCACCACCACCACCCCCACCAGCAGCAACAACAAGGGCAGCAATATCTTGACCAGGAACAACATTACTTTGAACATGAACATGAATATCATCAGCCGCAAGAGTTACAATTGCAGCTGCATCCAGCTAATGCAACAGCAGCCACAACAACAACGGCAACATTGGCTCACCCGCCTTCATATCATTCGCATGGGCCCCAACAACAACATTTGCATCAGCATCAACACAGCGGTGCGTCCATGTCCTCGACATCCACATCGTCCATGCCTTCGCTGTCATGTATGCCACTGCAACGGCAATTACCCGAGCGAGACCAGCAACCCATACATTTCAAATCGGGCAGTCAAGCGCCGCAACATGTTCTGCATATGCAGCAACATGAACAACAACAACAGCACCAGCAATCAGAACAGTCACCCGATTTACATCATGACAATCTGTTCCACTGGCCTACTGCGACATCGCTCGTGACCAGCTGAAATGAGGAGGCTGCCAATGATGCAGCTACATGACAACAGCAACAACAACAACAACAGCATCACCACCACCACCACAGTCACAGCCATCATCGCAAGCAACAGCTGTACCGTTTGCCCAAACAAAAGCACCACCACAAACAACACAAAACTCTTCTAAAAGATTATAATGGCATTCATGGACGCCGAGATTTCCCCGGCGATATTGGCAATGAAGCTGTGGCCGTCATTGCTGCCGCTGCAAGTGATTTTAAATGGGCACGAGCCAAAAACTGGCAAACTCTAAATAATGACTGGATTTGGCAGTGAAATTTTCAACGGATGAAAAATTCATCCCATACCCCGACCCATGCATCCATACCCCGACCCTTCCCGCTTAATGGTATGTCATCATAAAATAGTTGTCTAGCTTGCCATTTTAAAAACCAAAAACAAAAAACACGATACTTTCAAACAAATTCAAATTTATTATGATTACATGACAGATATAAATACATACATAGCTACATACATTTTTTGGATACTGGCATCAGGAGCTAGTAGGTGCTAGGCTAGAGACAAAACTGGCAAACAATTGAACAGCAAACAAAACGTGGCAAAATGACACTAAAAAAAACTCCGGCCAACTAACGACAGGTGTTATAATTTATAGGCTTAATACTTTTTTCCCCCCGAAAACTTTTTCCAATGTTACAGAATTGAAGCGATGGAAAACAGAAAAACTCATACCCAGCTAACGATCCACTAATGACCGAATTTTCAACAGATAACATTTGAAATATTACCATGGGTTAAACGAAGATATTGGGTCAATGTTTAAATAACCGAAAAAAATGGCTGGATGGAAAAATGAACGGCGAATTGAAGGAGATTTAAATTTTTTGAGAAAGATATTAAAATTTTTTCAGAATTTAAGATTTAAAGTAGATTTTTGGGGAATTTTGGAAAATTTTAGGGAATTTCAAAAAAATATTTTTAAAATATATTCGAAACATAGAAGATGTATAGAAAATTTGTTATATATATAGACGGCTTCATCTATATACAAAATATAACTTCTTATTTATGGGTCTTTGATTTATAGAAGAGGTCTTCGTAATAGAGATTTCTTTATTATAGAGAAGAAGCCTTTTATAATTATATATAATTAGAAAAAATCTTACTTACAGGGTTGCCCATATTCGACGGACCCATGTCGTCATCTTCGGCCATTTCGATGACTCTTTGGGCCCATTCCAATCGAAGAGGCTTTTCCGCAGGCAACATTCTTTGCGTCAATCAAATCAATGCGTGTAATCCGTTGAAAAGTGGACCGAGAACGGTCCAACTGCTGAGAACGGCGTTTTTGGGATGTTCTTGGGGACCTCTCAACGCTGGCTCGTACGGCAGCGATATTCTCTGCCGATCGCCTTGGTCGACTTTTATATGGCCTCTTCGGACTAGAAAGAGCCTTACCAGTCGAAAATTTTTCGTATAAACGCTAAATGGTGTTCTTAGAAGGCGCACTTCTTACATTTTTTAATGTTTTAAAAGCACGTTGAGTTTTCACAATTGACTTCTTCTGTTGAATGTAAATTTCAACTATTTCAGACCGCTCGCGTGGCGTTTATTGGTTCATGGTAAAAATCTGCTTGGACTGATGCTTCAAACGTGGTATGACATTAAGCGATGTGACATCTCTATCAAAAGTTATGGCGTTGCCAGATGGGTCCGTCGAATATGGGCGACCCTGTATATCATATAGGAGGGGTTTTCTTCGCACGAAAGAGGTCTTCAATGCATGGAAGAGGTCTTCAATGTATGAAAAGAGATGTTCTCTTGATGAGTTCTTTTATGTACTGAAAGGGCCTTCTTAGTTATACAGATGAGCTCAGCTACAAATAAGAATTTTTCAAATAGAAGACTTAGAAGACTGCCGTTCATAGACTCTCAAGATACCTTTTGGAGGCGTTCAATACATGTAGGTCCTAGGCATTCCTACAGAGAGGTCTTCCGTTCATTCCAGTCCAATAAGAGGGGAATTTTAAGATAATTTCCACAAAATATATCTTTGTACTTATAACAATGAAGCTGCCTATCTAGACCTTCTATGCAATGTTAAGAAGAATATTAGAAAGCTTTTTATATAAATAATATCTTTTGAAGTTCTTCTAAGTTTGGATGAAATTCTAAGGGCCTTTTGTCCACAGAAACCCTTTAGATAGTCCTTTATCTTTAAAAGAGCGAAAGAGACTATTTTACTTGCAGCAGAGTTTTAAGTCATTTATCAATGGAAGAGCTTTAGCAAAATGTCTATACACAAAAGAGCTTTTGAAGATCTTCCACATTAATGAAAGTTTCAGAGAATACAGAGATAGAGCGAGGGAGTTATATACCTTTTAGACTTTTACTTTTAGAGGAAGAGCCGTAGTAGCTGCTCCTCCTATCTTGGGATGAAGTTCATTACATCTTAAATCTAATGAGCTTTAGTAAGTCATCTATCTATGGAAGAGCTTTTGCAAAATGTGTATAGACAGAATAGTTTTTAAAGATCTTCGACGTTACTGAGAGAGAGAGAGAGAGAGAGCGAGGGACTCAAATAACTCTTAGACGTTCACCCTTGAAGAGTCTTAGAATCTATTCTATACAAGTATGGGCCTGAGAAGTCCTGCTATTTTGAAATGAAGCTCAAAATGTCTTGCATCGAATGAAAACCTTTAGAATTTCCTACAATATTAGAGAGTCTAACCTGTATAGGAGACCAAAGAAAGAACTTCAATTTAGAGAAGACTTCTATGTGCAGAAGAGATTTACAAGGTATTCAATATATAGAACTTAAAAAAAGCTTTCCATTTATGAAAGAGCTTTAAAAGCTATTCTCATTTCAGAAAAACATTAAATAGTCGTATATCTTTGAAAAAGCTTTCGCACGCCTCTTATGTATAGAAGAGCTTTAAAGGGATTTCTGTCTACAAGTATTATATCTGTAAAAAGCTTTATAATCCTTTCTCACTGGAAATGAGCTTTCGCAAATTTTACTACTGTGGCAGAGCTTTTGAAGGCCTTTTATCTCAAAAAAAAGTTGTAGAACTTATGGAATATCATCTCTCTGTAGTCGTATTCTATAGAAACGTATTTGAAGCTTAAGACGTTTTTTTGTCCATGGGAGAGCTTTATATAATCTTCTCAACATGAGATAACCTTAGGATATCTCTCTAACTATAGAATACATATGGGTTCCTTTGTGGTTTGTCTATCAATGGGAGGGCTTCAGATGACCTTATAATTATGGGTGTACCTTTAGATGATTCCAAATTATAAAGTATTTTTAAAAACTTACCTATTTAACAAGGCAATCTGCAAGAGATCTTAAAAAGAATTTCTGGTTATAAAATATATGAAATACAATGTTTTCTGCACATCTCTAGAAGAGCTGTAGAAGAATTTCTTTTTTAAGTAGAATATAAGCAGATCTTCTGCTTATAAGTCGTAGATGATGATCTTTCTACAAGGGGTATAGCTATAGCAGAGCTATAAATCTTATTATATTCATAAAGGAGTTTTAGAAATTTATTGGTCTTTGCAAGAGGAAGAACTAAATGATGTCTTCTAACCTTAGGAGACCTGTCTTTAGAAGACCCATGCTAAAATTAAAGTCGGCATTTTATCTATAGAAAACCTTTAAAACTCTACAATTTCAAGAAGACATCATAAAGGTATTATCTCTATCGAAAACCTCTAGGTCATCCCTTTAGAGGGGACTTTTCAAAGGTCTTATCTTTTGAAGCCCCTTAAAAATTGTTTTTTTTTTTTTTTTCAACAGAAGTCTTCCCTTTATAGAAAATCTTCAATAATCCTTATAGGTGCAGGAAACTTTTGTGTATTCTCCATCCTATTTTTTAACTCTAGAAAAATTGTCCATACCAAACATCTCCGCAGCAATATCAATGTCTAGAAAAAAATTAAGTAGTTTAATTTGGGAATTGTGTGTTCTATAGAGTTTTGCTCTGATCAACAATAGATTTACTCTTTGAGGTCTCCGAAGATGGTTCCGAGATGTTTGGAATGGAAGTGCAAAATTAGCATTTCCTCTCTCTTATTTCATTAATGAAGATAATTCTTGGTTTGTTCCATTCTTTTCAAGTCTTTTTGAGTTTTTGAGTTTTAAACATAGGTCAAGTGTGAAGGAGAGCTATATGGTTCTTTTTGTATTCTCCCCCAAAATTTCATAATTTTAAATCTTATCCTAAATTTCACATAAAATACAATGATATAGCTATATAGCACGCTGTACAATTGAAGTTGAATTAGGGAGGATTTTTCGTCCGACGCCTATCTTATTAGGTTCTGCAGCGTTATAAATATTCTTTAAATGAACTTCCCTAGTTGGAATCAAAATTAAGAAAATCACATTTTTCGGCGAAAATTGTTGCCTTGAAACTCAGTCTGTTTTTTTCTACTATAGTAGTAGTATGGTGGGGCGCTTTTTTCCAATTTTTCCTAAATATTTTCTGCCAGTATTATATAAACTTTTGTTGTCAGAACATAAACATGATTCATCAACTATTTTAATATTTCTTGAAAATCCCTCTTAATTCCTCCAGGGCTCCCTAAATTATTCCTAACAATGTTTATTAATTATAAAAATGTTATTTCCTTATTCTAATGACAGCTATCTTCTGCAGTTATTTTCAAAACTTTTTGTTTTGGACTTCCATCCAACCTCTACACAAAAAAAAAACTTGTCTTTGTCTTCGGGTATTTAGGAAAACTTTTTAATTTCTTTCAAAATTTCTTCTTTACTAAATCAAGCAGAAATAATAAAGTCTGTAAAGTTTTAATTTCTTTTTGGCAAATTTTATTGCTACTATCCATTCTCACCATCGCACCAAAATGCCAGCAAATATTTGGCAATAAAGTCCAATCGAGTTCGATAAACAACAAAACAATTGTCGCTTCAAACCTGTAGGTGGATGTATATAAATGTTGGATTGGAAGAGAGAAAAAAGAAACCGTCGCCAATATCTCGTTTTGCTGTTCATAATACAAGCTTGTCACGTTTTATCCTTTATTGCCATGTTACGTTTTTAGTTTAATACGTTCAGGTTCGGGTGGGTTTTTTTTTGACAGTTTCCAGTATTTTCTTTTTGTCAGGTAATTTACAAAGTTATTTGTAACAAAAAAGTAAAATTTTAAACAAACTATGATAGTTAGAAAACCTTTTTTTCAACATTTCTTTTTGATTTCAACGAAAAAAAATCTATGAAAATAAAAAACCCAACAAAAAATCACTAAAGGTTGTTAAGGTCAAGTGAAAGAATTTACACTCTGTGAAATAATTTCAGAGTTTAACAACAGAAGAAAAAACTTAAAAATAATTTATTATTACAAAAATGAAATCTATTACAAAAAGCTATACTTGAAAACATTCCAAAATATTTAATATTGCCTCTCTCAAATGAAAACGAAAAAACAAAAACTAAACAAAATATAGTAAAACAAACTTTCATATATAAAATAAAAAAAGCATATCATGATATAACAAAATTTATATTATTAATTAAATGAAAAAAAAAAAAAAAACAAGAACAACAACACTAATTAAAACTTTGTTTCTTTTTTCTGTAAATAATAACTTTTTCATAAATTAGAATAGAAGAGAAAAAAAGAAAACGAAAACAAAA